TCCCAAAGTTGGGCTTGGGACCCAACAATGGGTCATGAAGCACCTTGGATAATCTCCAGAAATCAATTTAAAGGGTAATAAAATAATTACTGATGTAATATTTTCCCTATAATTATTACAAAAAACACAAAATAAGTATAAATAAGTATTTATATTTGTGTACAAGCTGTTTAGATTGTCAGAAAACCTGTGTTTTTATGGTTATTAACAAAGTTTGTGTACTCAGACCAGTAATATTTGGGGTCACAAGTTTTTGCCAGGGAGATATTTTGTGGGTCAGAAGATAAAAAGTTTGGGAACCACTGCCTTAGAACAATAGGATTTTCTTGAACTATTCTGCATTTTTTAAAACATAATTTGAAAATAGTTTGTGGTTTTCCTTCTTTTTCTAACGTTTGATTTTGTTTGTAATCTTGTCCATCAGACACGCTGACCCAGAGTCCATCCAGATGAGCCCAGTGAGGAGCAGAAGCACAGGAAATAGGACTTAAGAAAACAGCAGGTAAAACCTCAGTGAGCGAGCATGCTTGATCTTGTAGTTATCTTGACATAGTGTGTGTGTGTGTGTGTGTGTGTGTGTGTGTGTGTGTGTGTGTGTGTGTGTGTGTGTGTGTGTGTGTGTGTGTGTTACTGGGTGAAAGTTTGGGTGGAGTAATTGAGCACTGCCGTACCTGGAATCCAGATGAACAGTCCTCAGCCTAACAGGCGGGAAATTTGTGGAAGTGGGCCAACACATTTCACATTCATGTGAGGGAGTTTCACAATCACATCAAACACTCATTGCATCTGTTTTCCTGTGTTGTATCCTCCCCATTTAGCTAATCACTGTCAAACTTCTCAGAACTTAAGATGTCTTTTTTTTTTTGTCGAGTTTAAGTTCTCCAAAGCACGACAACTTAGTGATTTATATTTATGTTTCAACCAAAAAAAAAAACAGGAAACCAGTTGTGGAACTTGTGCATAGGGCTCACACACTGGCTGCATCACTGGTTAAATTACAAGTGGACCTGTTCTCGTAGTTTTCAGAGGGTTGTGTTTTCACTGTCGACATGAAAACACAAGGGTAGAATTTCAAGTTTTTTGCATTTTCTTTCACTCTCTAATACAACGCTCCTCTTCTCTTTCCACTTCTAATCCAAATAATGGATCTACTACTTCCTCATCAAAGTCCTCACTCAGACTGTTTTTCCTCTCTGTCTTTGAGCTTTCCTGGTCTCTCTGAAAAGGTTCTGACCGTGGCCCTTTCCATCTGTGCCTAGCTCCACCTCCATCTCAATTTGCCTCATTGTTTTGAATCAACGACACAAAAGCTGACAAAACTAAACACACTAAATTATTCCCTTATTAGAAAATTTGAACACGTTAAATATAAATCTCTCAAATTTCATTTCTCTCTCCTGCTCTCGCTGTGTCTTTTGCCACCAAACTTCATTCAACCTTTGTGTCTTTTTTATTTTCTTCTTATTCGATTTTTTTTGGTGCTTGGGGTTTTATGTTTGTTCAGAGTGGGGGTGAGACCAGAGGGTGCATAGAGGTGTTTTATTTCCATGAATCTGTCTGTTTCTCTGCCTCCTGCTGAAACGTGCTTCAAATATGACAAACATAAAGTGCTGTAAATTATTTATCATAACTCTGGTTTTACGTGGCCTATCGACAGAATTCAAAAACTGGTGTATAGCTTGAAGTCTATACATTTTGACACAAATTTGAAACCGTTTCTTCTTCTTATGATCATGTGACCAAGATGTGCTGGTGTCCAGGGACTCCACGGGGTTAATTAACATATAAATCTTTATTGGCAAAATGCTACAATTTCTCATGATTATTTTTTTTGCCAATATTGCCCATCCCTACTTTGGAGTCTGTCCAGGTGAACTGGAAGAGATACGTAAAGAAAAAGAAGATCTGAAGATCTCATACTAAGCCCTTGCTTCTGACCTGATCTCAGATGATCGGCAGAAGATGGAATTAAAATAACTAATTCCTAAATACAATTTATTTAATGTGGTTTTAATGAAAAATTTAGCTCAAGAAAGTTTGCTGCTGCTATGACATTGTCGACCAGTTGATAAATATAATAACCTGTAGGCCACGGACATCTGGTCCAGCACTTGGGGCCACTCCGACCACTTCCGGTTTGTGGTCAACACAGTGTTAGCGAAAGATTTTTCACACGACGACTCTTAATGATCTCCACAGTACAGAATTAGCATATTACATGTACCAACATTAACACAGGAGACGTACAGGTCCAGCCAAGTGGGAAAAAAAATCACTCCAAAGTGGATTAAAGCCATAAAAACAAAGGAAAAGACGTTCGTGTTTATGGTTCCAT